AATGACTACAACTTAAAATGTTCAGCTTTATCCTTTGTTTCTGACAGTGCTTAGCTACTTGCTCTTTTATAAACTTTCATATCAAATTCAGTGAACAACTAAAGCAGGGATTTTTTTCCTCCCCTCAGATTGTTGCCTGTTTCTGGAATGCCCCTAGGTCCCCTGGATTCATGGTCCTTAGGAGCATGCCTCAGTGTTCTGTTATTTCTGACCCTCAAAAAACCTCTTTTCTCATCTGGTGCTAAAATAAATTATTTCAATGGCACTTTCCCATGGACCTACTCATCATTAATAGTATCTGAAGATAAACTATTAAATTTTGATTATTTGGAATACTTACAGAAATGTAGTATTCTGGCTGAATTGAATTCTCTCAATCACATAGAATTATAATACAAATCCCATTTCTTATTTTTGAAAAAAAATTTTCTGTCTAGTCATCTTAGTATACTGAGAAAAGCAATCTTTCTTAGAGATTAAATGTCCAAACTTACCCATTCATTCATTCTACAAATATGTATTGAGCACCTACCTGTGCTAAGCCGTGTTTGGGGAGAGACATTTGAACAAAAACTGTAAAGAACTAAGTGAGCATGATCTGCAAATATCTGGGGTTGATCTTTTTGATTCCTTCAAACTGAGTCATAGTCCTGTCTCTTCTACCTGAATTAGGATCTGCCTTAAGAAGAGTAAAACTGAGGGGCGCCTGGGTGGCTCAGTCAGTAAGCATCTGACTCTTGATTTTGGCTTAGATCATGATCTCAGTGTGGTGAGATGGAGCTCCACATCAGGCTCTGTGCTCAGCAGGGAGTTTGCTTGAGATTCTCTCTCCCTTCTCCCTCTGTCCCCCTACCCCTGCACAAGCATGTGCTCTCTCTCTCTCTCAAATAATTAAATCTTTAAATTAAAAAGAATAATAAAACTGAATGTTTTGAGGCTCAGTGGGGAGTCTGCTTGGAATTTTCTCTCTCCTTCTCCCGCTGCCCCTCCCCCCCAATTAATACAACTTATCCAGAGCATGCTCTCTCTCTCTCTCAAATTAAAAAAAAGAGAGATAGTAGAAAGAAAAGGAAAATCAATGATAGTCATAAAGAAAAACCTTAACCCTACTGTGATTAGCATTTCCCTCTAATGTTTTCTCCCATGTTTTTGTTTAAAATCTTTCAGTAGCACTATTCACTGCAGGGTTAGCCTCAGTTCTCTTGCCTGACAAACTATCTACTTGTCCTCACAGCTGGGCTTCAGACTCTCTAACAGCACCATGCAGCCCCACTCCTATTATATTTTCATGCTTTTCTTCACTCACAGTGCTTGGTTCAATTCACGTTAAAAAACATTTATAGAGTTCTCAATTCTAAAGTTACAAACCAAGCAAGTCTTGAACCTTAAAAAGTGCTTAGTCTAATTTCTGACTGGCAACCCATTTTCTCCTTCTCTCTTGCTACTCTCTTGCTCAGTCTGTCTGGGAAGAAGCTTCATACACTGGAAGAGTCAGGGCCAATGAGTCCTCCACTGGGATACCTTTCCTGACTTTCTTTCAGAGGTAGAATTGACGGCTTTGGTACTTGAGGGGTTTCTTTTGTCTCCCACCCACTGAGTGGTACTCTAGGCAGATTTCTATCAGAGGACTGTAATACTGTAATGCACATACTGTTTTCTTCTATGTCTTCCCCTATTGGACTACAGGCTCCTCGAGGTCAGGGAACAGGTCCAATTCATCTCTGATTCCCCAGTACCCACCTAGGACAATGTTGACAGTGGATGCTAAGTAACACAAATGAAAGAATGAACCTGAATTTTTTACATCGTTCCAAATATGGTTTATATGGACAAATTATTTGACCTATTTATTTTTCACTTACCACTTTATCTCAAGTAATTTTCATATTGCTGCAGTTAATATTTTAATGGCTATTCAATACTTCTTTCAAGGTCAGTGCTGCCCAGTAGAACTTTCTGCACTGATGGAAATGTCCAGTATCTGCGCTGTCCAATACAGTAGGCACTAGCCATGTGGCTACTGTGCACTTGAAATGTGGCTAGTGTAACTGAGGAGAACTGGGTTTTTAATGTATTTTAATTTCAATTTAAATAGCCACGTATGGCTGGTGCCTACTGTAATGGACAGTACACAGACCGTAATTTCTGAGTATTTCCCTTTGAACAATAGATGAGACATATGTATAGTTATCACATTGTTACTCAAGGGAGTGGCATTTGAAATGGTGTTTAAAATATTTTAAAGTCTAAATATACTAATCATCTCCTCCTAAAATTTTTATAATCTTATAAAAGATTATAAGAACACTTGTACTTCAATATATAATGCGAAGGTAAACAGCAACACCCATCCATAGAAGGAATTCCAAATTCATGGGCTTTAACTAATTGGAAATTATAAATTCTACCTACTGTTGTAGTTTTTTACTGATGCTCCAGTTTTTTGTACTTATCCCCTGGAAAGATGCTTATGTTGTTCCACACTATCACATGGCTAATTTAAAAGTTGGACCTTGGGACGCCTGGGGGGGCTCAGTCAGTTAAGCGTCTACCTTCAGCTCAGGTCATGATCCCAGAGTCCTGGGATCAAGTCCCACATCCGGCTCTTTGCTCAGTGTGGAGACTGCTTCTCCCTCTGCCCCTCCCCCTTCTCCTGCATGCACGTGAATGCACACTCTCTCTCTGACAAATAAAGTCTATAAAAAAATAAAAGTTGGACCTTTTCTTTTTACTATTTTAGCAAGGTGTCTGATTCATACATTTCAATATATTCCAGTTCTTAAAAATCATTAAGTATACTTAGTAGCTTGTGTACACATAATATGAAAAGGTCTTAGGCATAGTGTCAATGCAAAGAGCATTGAATAAACTTTACCAGATGTGCCTCTCTGAGTAGGATTATCACTCCAGCCAAAGACCAAAAGCTTACTCTTGAAGATAAGTTTCATCTGCTTCCTACCCACTTTGAAAGGTATAGTGCAATCCACACTGAATCCTTATTTCAGCAACTTAGAATATCCTTGGAGATATGTTCAAATGTCTTTTCCAAACAGAAAAACTCAAATAACAGCAGTAAATTCTTATTGCCTTTGAAATATCAGATGTCAGATTATTGCTTTCATTAGTGATGACTGCCATCGTTTCCAAGACACTTAAGTCATTTAGCCACTTTGAACTACATCTACACTTAGTATTCTGGTAGTTATTATTTTGGCTATATTTTATTATCTAATTTGCGTGTTATACTATTCAAAATACTGAAATTATTGAATAAATATTTGCAATTTGGGAAAATAATTTTGAGGTACTAGATAAACAAGATCATGGTCTAGCAGAACTATTAAGTTTTCATTACTACTGGTCCCCTATTTTGTCCATATGCACATATACTATAGCAGGCAGAATTTTATTTTATTTTTAATATTTTATTTATTTGAGAGAGAGAGAGTGCGCGCGTGCATGCATGCACACATGAGGAGGGGGAGGGGCAGAAGCAGATTTCCCTGCTGAGCAGGGAGACTGATGCAGGGCTCCATCCCAGGACCCCAGGGTCATGACCCGAGCCAGAGGCAGATGCTTAATGGACTGAGCCACCCAGGTGGCAGGCAGAATTTTAAAGATATCCCGCTAGGGCTCCCATCCTCTGGTTATTTAATCTAATCTACATACTGCTGTAAAAGGGCTTTGCAGATGGAATTACAGTTACTAATCAGCTTACCTTAAAATGGGAAAGTTATCCTGAATTATACAGGTGTACAAAGTAATTATTATAACCCCTTAACAATAGAAGAGGAAGGCACAAGGGTTGCTCAGAGAAATAGAGTGGAAGGAGAATGGATGTGGCAGGAAGGAACATTAGAGAGATTCCAAGCATAAGAAGGATTTTTCATACCTTAATTGCTCTGAGATGTAGGGGTCCAGATGTAATTTGCAAGAGATCTCTTGGAGCTAAGGATGGCCCCCAGCTAACAGCCAGCAAAGAAACAGGGACCTCAGTCCTACAAATGCAAGGGACTGAATTCAACTAACAACGTGAATGAGGTTGGAAACATTCTTTCAGAACCTCTGATAAGAGCCCAACCAGCCAACACTGATTTTAGTCTTACTAAATCTGGAAAAGAGAAACCAGAATGACCACCTAAGACTAGCCACCTACAGAAATGTGAGATAATAAATTTGTATTTTTTTAAAGATTTTTTAATTTTATTATGTTAATCACCATACATTACATCATTAGTTTTTGATGTAGTGTTCCATGATTCATTGTTTGCGTATAACACCCAGTGCTCCATTAAAGATTTTATTTATTTGACAGAGAGAGACACAGCAAAGGAGGGAACACAAGCAGGGGGAGTGGGAGAAGGAGAAGCAGGCTTCCTGCTGAGCAGGTAGCCCAATGTGGGGCTCCATCCCAGGACCCTGGGATCATGACCTGAGCTGAAGGCAGATGCTTAACGACTAAGCCACCCAGGTGCCCCAAATCTGTATTGGTTTAAGCTGCTAAATTTGTGCTAATTTGTCACAGCAGCAATAGAAAACTATAGACACCAAATTCATTCAATGATCTGGAGGATTGTTGAAGTATACACAGTATACACAGCCTTATTACATACGTTTGTTTATCCATGATCTAAATATGATCTTACGTTAAAAATTAAACTTATTTTTTAATGGAAATGTTTCAGTGTTTCCTAATGTTTAGTTTCCTTTATATGTAAATTGAATTTAAATTCATGTGATAGAAAGGAATAGGCTAGAGGAAGGAACTTGTAACTTGTTTTGATCCTAATGTTTGGCTCATGAATGTACAGGATAACATCAAGATAGACCAAGAGTTTCTTGAGACGGACTATGTCTCATTTGTCTTTGTATCTGTCTCCAGATGGATACATAGTAGCCATGTAATAAATGCTTGTTACTGTTGTATGTGTTGGCTTGTCTTTTTGCTCTAGCAAAAAATTTACTTTAAAAACTTTAATTTTTATATTTTTTTCCTATAGGTTATGCTTTCTAATCCAGTGCTAGAAAATCCAGTGAATTTGGAAGCAGCCCAAATGCTGATTAAAGATGAATCTCTGTACAAACAAGAAGTTCTAAGACTTCTCAACCAACCAACACAATGTAAGAAGTGCCTATTTATTGTTTTTGCCAATTATTAATTATGCATTTATAGCAAATAAATGATCCAGCAAATAAGTGTTATATAAGCGAATATTTTCTGTATCCATTCTCAGGAATGAAATCATACTAAGATTTCTCCTATTGTACCTCTTTGTCAAGCCAGTCAGTTATCAAAAAGTCAATCAAAAAGTGGTTCTTTAAAGATTATCAGTGATCATAAGCTTAGTATTTTTAAATGTTATGGTCATATGGATGGTGGTACTGACTGAAACTTATTTACCCATCATAAAGATATGACATCTAATTTTAACTCTTTGATCCAAAATGGATATTTCCCAGATTTGACCTGCAGTACCCCAGATCTTACTGAACTGGGACTCCTTTCCTCTTGATTAGCAAAATGTTCAGCTTTTTGTTCTGAAGAGTTCGCCCTCAAGATATTCCTTCTAAGAGTCCATGTGGAAATGACATCTGAGGCTCTTCAATCTTTCTGCTCTATTGACCAGTGGGTTTTTGTTTTTTTTTTCTTTTGATACCCTTGTTTTGCTCTCTTTTATCCTGCCAGGGACCTCTTCATGACTTAGCCCAGTCTCTCTACTGCTCCTGTGTTCTCTCTGCAATTAGCAGAATAAGGCTATTGGTTCCTTATGCCCAGAGGGGTTCATCACAAGTGGGGGTTGGGGCCCTAGTGCGCATAGTTCTTTCCTCTCTATCCTGCCCCTTCTTTTTCCAGCCATGCACAGCAGCCAGACATAGTAACTGCTGTCATTTCCTCCCTAACAGCAAGCCTTGCTGTTCAGACTCGTTCTACCAAACTGATCTCTCATGTGCTTTTTCTTTCAGATGTCCCCTGTTTCTTTTTCCAGTCCCCTTCCAGGGCCTGCCAGTCCATTAGCTAGGTGTATACAATTGTGACCAAGTTCAAGTGCTCCTCTGGGCTTTGGGTCTGGTGCAAATCAAGCAGTGTTGATTAGGCATCCTTTTCGGTATCTTCAAACATGCCATGATTGTGGTGGAGTCCCTCAAACATTCCCTGACAGTTTTAAAGCTGGTTTGTGCACAGAGGAGTCCTATTGCTTCATTCTGACCACACTTCTGATCTCCCAGAATATTGTAGCATCCACTACTGTGTCCTCTGTGCTCAGTTACTATTTGTAGAATGAATGAATGAACAATTTATATCACTTAAACCTTCACTGAGCCCTGCAGTACTAACATTATAAAGAAATATTCTATAACAAAGCTATATCCATAGTCTGGTAAATGGAAATTTGAAAACTGGTTTTAAAGTATTGCCTACAGTAAATGATTCTGTGCAATAGATTTTGGGTTTAGCCTGCCAAAAGGAAGGATGAGAAAGAAACTGAAGAGAAGTCAGCCCTTCTTTTTGTCCCCCTGCCTAGTAGATGCCATCCTTCACTCCTTTCAGTTCTCCAGCTGTACTATCAAGTCAGACAGAAAAGCTGCCCCAGTTGCCAAATCACCTAGCAGATGAGCAACAGCAAATAGACTTTGGCAGGTTTTCACTATGTTCTTTAGTTACGATGGGGAAATACGTGGAAATCCAAGACAGTAAATAGTTATCAGCCTGCTTTCTATCTCAGCCAGACTAGGAGTGGTAGTCTCGGGTGCCATGAAGAGAGTGACTTACCGCAGCTTCCAAGGGCAAGAGTGTCCATAATACAACAGACACAGCTGCTAAGGGGGTGGGGGAGAAGTTGCAGAAAACTTGTGCACTCGCAATTAGGTGGTAGTCTACAACTATGTGGATTTCTGTGAAAAACTGCATCCAGTGAGAATTAATAACTTGTAACAACTTGAAAAAAGATCTCACTAGAATGCTGCAAGAATCATCTTCCATATAATTTAAAATGTTAATAAAGAGATCTAGAAAAAGCATAAAGGAATTACCACATTTTTAGGTAACACAAAACTGGAACAGATAGTTAATTGTATAAATGAGAAACTCAAGAGGCAGAGAACTATATCATCTCTGTAAGCATTGATTGTAGGCCAGAATTATATCCCCAGTAGCCAGTGTAGTATCTGGTTGTAGGTATTGAATAAAAATTTGTAGAATGAACAAATAAAAAAATACATGTGAGCTTAGATCCTGATTTTACTTCATAGTTTACACAATGCTTTCACATACATTTATTCATCTGATCCTCAGCCTCTCCCTCAGTAGGAAGCCGAGGATCAGTGATAAGTGGTTGGCTCAAAGCCACAGAGAGCAAGCTGCAGAGCCAGAGCATCAACCTAGGCATTTCCCTCCCCTGTGCCTCCAAATTTAATGGGATGAGCATAAAGTCATTCATTTGGGATCAAAGGATTAAAATTTCCAAGTAAAGAATGGAAGAGGCCTGACTTGATAGCAGAATTCTATGAAAAAGTTCTTGCGGAGCTATTTGATCACAAAGTTAATGTGAGCCACTAATGGAAAGTGCCCTTGCACTAAGCATGTGTTGTATGATAATTCTGCCCCACTCTGATGTGGTGGGCCCTCATCTGGAATACCAGCATGCTCCGTTTGGAGCATGACATTTCCTGAGCTGAAGAAACTGTGTATGTTTAGCTAGTGGAAGAAATGACAACAGGCAGTTGTAAAAGCTGTTTTCAAATATTTGAAGGACTTTCATAGAGAAAAGGGCCATTTCTTCTCTGTTGTTTCAAAAAACTGAAGTAGTTACAATCAGCTGTACCGTCTCTAGGCCTACTAGGTTGTAGCCACTATAGTCCAGAATCTGCAGGCTTGGCCCTGCCTTGTGCGGGAACATACCTTGACTATATGGGGGTCTTTTCCCTCATCATCAGTGGTCTGGAATTAATTTTGTTATCCTAAGCCTGAGTCTGCTATTTGGTATGCAGACATGCAAATGCCTCTCATTCCCCAAACTTTCCATAACATGTCGTTTGCCTAGCCTGAGCCGCTAGGTCTCGGCCTTGCTGTTTTGACAAGAATACGCCAAGCTCTGAGCTCAAACCCAGCTGGTGGAGGTCCTGATGACCTTCCCAAATCCTGCCATTCTCTTTTGGGTCTGGACCCTGTCTCCCTTACTGATAGTGAGGGTGCTCACATATACCAGACTGCCTGGGACAGTCCTGGTATAATGACTTCTAGCACCCCCTTTGACTCTGTGCTCCAGTTTGCACACCAAATTATAAAGTCAGTTGGGTGCCTGACTGATCTGTCCTACAAGCAAATGCCACAGTGGTTACACCATCCCTGGTGTAACGCCCGCCCATCCAGGTCCCAGCTGGCCAAAGAGGGGGAAGAATTTTCTAAAAACTCAAGTTGCTTAAGAATGGAGAAGGCTATTGTTTGGGTGCCTGGATGGCTCAGTCGGTTAAGCGTCTCCCTTCGACTCGGGTCATGATGCCAGGGTCTTGGGATCGAGCCCTGAATCAGTCTCCCTGCTCTGCCGGGAGCCTGCTTCTCCCTTTCCCTCTGCCTACCACTCCCCCTGCTTGTATTTGCTCTCTCTGTAAAAAAAAAAGAATAAATCTAAAATAAAAAAATAAAAAGAATGGAGAAGGCTACCTTGGCTGGTAGTATCACTAATAGCCTGCTTTGAGAACTGTGGTCAGTTAGTCGGGTTTAAGAGCTCTTTTTCACAGATGTTGTGAGAGAGCTTCTTGCTCAGTGTCAGGGTTGGGCTAGGGGATTTTTCAAGTACCTTCCAACTTAAGCTTCAACTTGTTTACGAACACTTGGAAGAAGGAGGAGAAAAGATCTGGAAGGAGATAATGTGTAACAACTGTCTTGCATCCCAGCTTCTGGCTATTGCTTATTTATTTTCTAATGTGTCACAAGGGATTTTATATAAGCCTGTATGTCCTTTTTTTCCCCAGTCTGAGTGAATTTTTATTTCTATGTGGTTATATCATCAAATAATATTTATTCTGTTTATCATGTTTTTTTTCAAGTGTAAGGTTTGTACAATCTCTTTTTTTAAATTTTATTTTATTATGTTAGTCACCATGCAAATACATCATTAGTTTTTGATGTAGTGATCCATGATTCATTGTTTTCATATAACACCTAGTGCTCCATGCAGTACGTGACCTCCTTAATACCCATCACCAGGCTAACCCATCTCCCCACCCCCCTCCCCTCTAAAACCCTCAGTTTGTTTCTCAGAGTCCATAGTCTCTCATGGTTCATCTCTCCCTCCGATTCCCCCCTCCCTTCGTTTTTCCCTTCCTTTTCCTAATGTCCTCCATGCTATTCCTTATGTTCCACGAATAAGTGAAACCATATAATAATTGACTTTCTCTGCTTGACTTATTTCACTTAGCATAATCTCCTCCAGTCCCATCCATGCTGATGTAAAAGTTGGGTATTCATCCTTTCTGATGGCTGAGTAATATTCCCTTGTATATATGGACCACATCTTCTTTATCCACTCATCTGTTGAAGGGCATCTCAGCTCTTTCCACAGTTTGGCTATTGTGGACATTGCCGCTATGAACGTTGGGGTGCATATGGCCCCTCTTTTCACTACATCTGTGTCTTTGGGGTAAATACCCAGTAGTGCAATTGCTGGGTCATAGGGTAGCTCTATTTTTAATTTTTTGAGGTACCTCCACACTGTTTTCTAAAGTGGCTGTACCAACTTGCATTCCCACAACAGTGTAAGAGGGTTCCCCTTTCTCCTCAACCTCTCCAACATTTGTTGTTTCTTGCCTTGTCAATTTTTGCCATTCTAACTGGTGTAAGGTGGTATCTCAGTGTGGTTTTGATTTGAATTTCCCTGATGGCTAATGATGATGAACATTTTTTCATGTGTCTCTTAGCCATTTGTATGTCTTCTTCAGAGAAGTGTCTTTTCATATCTTCTGCCCATTTTTTGACTTGATTATTTGTTTTTTGGGTGTTGGGTTTGAGAAGTTCTTTATAGATCTTGGATACCAGCCCTTTATCTGTAGTGTCATTTGCAAATATCTTCTCCCATTCCGTGGGTTGCCTCTTTGTTTTGTTGACTGTTTCCTTTGCTGTG